GATGATAATAATAATAATAATAATGAGGTTACCCACGGTTGATCCGCCGCACAAGAAACGGTGAATACTTTGTTTTTTTACTAACAATTGCGACCACGTAACTAGTATGACTTTTTTCTCATAAATGGAAGGGGACTTGACCGTCTATTATGCCTCTGGATAACCCTGGGATGTTGTACTTCATAGTTTCATAAATAGTTGGACGGGATGTAGCAGAGCGCTGGAACTCCGATTTCAGATACGTGGTAGTATGCAGCAAATAGCGAAACCCCGGTAAGAACTCACTGGCTTGGTGCCTATGAAGCACAACACTGATTATTTCTCGGGCACAGCGGGGTATTCAGAGGCTGGCCAACTACGTGATATCTGAAACCAATACGATGGCACATGTTTCTTCATTCACGTTGCAAATTCGAAAAAAACGAATTTATCCTTCTTGAAAAGGCCGTCAAAGTTTCACGCTCTCCAGGAAACTGGTACAGAGAGGGTGACATGACAGATTGAGTGTTCCTCAAACCAGACAATGTGCGTGACTCTGCTGAAGCCTTAAAGACCAATATGTCTATGCGGGAGGTCTGTCGGTTATTTTATCGATCGTTCATACCATTAATTTGGTTGTTTTATGTCATTTTGGTTCAACAATCTTCGTGACTTATCTTTTTCGTTGCAACAAGCTGACAAATATTGTTCAGCATAGAAACAACCTCGGCAATAGTAAGCAGCTATTATTTTTCCTGTACTTTCGAATTTATCGTTTAGTCCGAAGGATTTGTACTGAACATGGTAACCACATTCAACATAAAAGTATCCCGTTGCATTTACCGGTTGTTTATGTCTCTTTAGGATAATTTGCTTTCAAAATAAACCGATAAGTGGTGTCACAAAATTCCGTCACAATAGCCCTGTCTAAATGGATCCGACTCCAAAATCGCTCACCTGTTTCATTCCTTTCCAAAAATCTCGTTCGCACACAATCCCCGATACTTTTTTTCGATTTTCGGTTACATAATAACTAGTTCTGTCGGGATGTCAAGCGTATACCCAGAGTGATTTATTGCTAATTCGTTCACCTAATACAACGACTGATGCAGTTACCACGCCCAACGAGAACAACCTAATGCGAAAATTCGCTTCGACCATCAACTCTTTTTGCTCTCAACGTGGATCGAGCAACTTTTTCGAATCCGTAGGATATCATTTGGATTAGCTACTGCCCGAAATAATGGTCCACTTTTGGTCATTGATCAAGTGGCTGTTGACCTGTTCGCCGAGCTTAGTAATTGATTAGCAAACGTTTCGTCACCTTTCGAGGAGAAATCTTCAGTGCGCTGTTGGTTGGGTAGTTCCACTCTTCATGTCTGCATTTATATGGTTTACAAAGAGCGCTGTAACCTGAATGGCCATTGGCAATCATCCTTCTTGGATTCTAGTTGGTCCGATCTTGATCTGTGTTACGTTGCAGTTTGCATATCTTGCTTTCTACGGTCACGCTACTGTTGAAATTTTCGTCTCTTGTCTCTTCTCCCTCTCTTTGTCTCTTCCGGTTAACACCTTCGTGATCTGTATTGTGTCGTGGTCGTCTTCTCTGTTGTTTGGCTGGTTTGTGGTGTATCCCTTAATTTTAGTAGTTTATTGTTTCA